TATGCACACAAACATGCCTGGTGTGTTTTTCAAGCTGCTGGAGCCAGGATTGGAATTGAACAGTCAGCCATGTGGGATCCAGCTCAACACTAGGCCACTGGACGTAATGAATTCTTAAATCTCTTAAGAAAGCATGGCATTTATTGATGCAAAATCTTCAACTAACCACTATTTCCTCTCTTTCTTTTCTCCTTGTGTCTCTTCTTTTGGAAGTTCAGAATCCCATGAAACCCAGAAGTCCTCTGGTAAGACTCACTGTCTAAGACTAGACACTTGCCTGGCACATAAGAGATGCTCAGAAAAGTCTAGAAAAAGAGTAATAAAAAACTGGATATGGATAAATACGTTGTATGTCAGTACTGTCCAACAGAAATATAATATGAGACATGTCTATAATCTAAGGTTTTTTAGTAGCTAATTGAAAAAAAGGGGATAAAAACACAACATTTATTTTAACAGTATTTTTATTTAACCCAATATTTCTAAGATAGCAGCAGCAGCACCTCATAAAGTTGGAGTTGTACAGTATTTGTCCTTTTGTATCTGGTTTATTTTACTTACCGTAATGTCCTCAAAGTGCATTCGTGTTGTAGCATGTGTCAGAAATTCCTTCCTTTTTAAGGCTGAGTAATACTTGATTGTACATACACTACATTTCATTTATTCCTTCACTTGCCAATGGATATTAGGATTGTTTCCACTTTTTGGTTGCTATGAATAATGCTGCTATGAATATAGGTGTACAAATATCTATGCAAGGCCCCACTTTCAAATCTTTCAGATACATAGCGGGGGGGGGGGAATTCTCAATCACAGAGTAATCCTACTTTTAATTTTTTGAGGAATCACCATATTATTTTGCACAACTACTGTACTATTTTACATTCCCACCAGCAATGTACAAGGGTTCCATGGGATTGTTGGGGTTTTTGTTTTTGTTTTTTGCTTGCACTTGCCAGAGAGACAGAGACAGAAAGCACGAAATCACCCTCTTGGGGGAGGATGGCCACGCCATAATCCCTTCTCCTCTCTGAATTTTGAGAACGCACTCACATGCATCCAGTGTGAGGTTTTTTTAAGTTATTATTTTATTTAACTTTATTATTATTTTCTAGTTTGTTCAGAGAGAGACTAAGAAAGAGAGAGGGAAAGTGAGAAAGCAAGCCACCAGGTCCTGGACTTGAACTGCAGTTGGCCATGTGGGAGTCCAATGCATTTAACCACCACACCATCCGCCAGCCCCACATATGGGGTAAGTTTTGAGCCACCAGGTTCAGGACTCAAACCACGGTCAACTGCATGGGAGTTCAGTGATCTAACCATTACACCATCTGTTGATCCTGGGACTGTTAGTTTTATATGTAAGATTTTTTTCTGGGGACCAGCAGTTGGTGTAATGACTATGTCGCTGTACTCTCACATAGTCGACCACCATTCAAGTCCCAGACCTGGTGGCTTAAACTTATACAGGGCCCTTATGCATGCGTGCCTAAGATCCCAAGAGGAGAATGGAGTAGGGATGGCCGTGATTTCTCTTTCTGTCTCTGTCTTTCTGGCGAGCACACTCGCCCTATAGCAAAAACCTCTCCAAAAAAAATATATTTTTTTCTGATTACAGTACGTGTTCCTGTAGAACGCTTCAGAAAATGCCAGAAAGCAAAATGTAGAAAACTAAAATTCCCCTTATTCTGAGTATGAAGACATAACCTGAATTCCTATTCTCCCCAACAGAGGGAAGTCTTGACACCCCTGGGATGATTATGATTACACCAGGTGGTAGAATATGATCCAGTTATCTGCTGAGGCCTGCGCTGCGTGGACCTCGTCCTGAGCCCACCCTCGGTTATTGTCTGTCCCCGACCCTAATCGTCAATAAAGTTCATGCAATTAAACTGGCTTCTGAGTCATTTTTGTGGGTTGTTCCCTTAGAGTTGTACACATGATACAGGGTTGTCACATTCTCTACAGGTCTGTTTCCTTATCTTTCCGCAACTCCAAGTCATCTCGGGGTTGATAAGGCAACCCTAACCCTAACCCTAAAATTAGGAAAGTGATTTGTCTCGAGAAATACGTTCTACAAACGCATCATCCACGTCTGCAGAAATGAGCTTTGCTTTCTGACCAGAGGGCACCGGATGACGTCAGCGCCTATGCCTCAAAGCCTCCCAGTCAATTCGCAAAGCTCAGGAAATAGCCCGCCTCTTTTTGCTTCTCCAAGTGCCCATTGGCTAATTTTAGCGTCGATCCCTTCTCTGCTCCTATCACTGCCGCCTTTAGTCTCTGGCGCATGCTCTCATTGGCCTTCCCGCAGTCGCTTTACGCCGGGCGTTTCAGTGTTAGCCACTGGGAGTCGCTGGATTTGGGTTTTAAAAAATGCCATTGGTGATGTGGGAGGAGCGGGCGATTTGAACGGGAGGTGGCGCAGACGACTTCCGACTCCGGCTCCACGGCGGCACGCGGCCTCCCGGCTCTTCGGGTCTCCCAGACTCCAGCCTTCACCGCCCGGACGCGGAAGTCCGATCAGGAGCAGTGGGACTGGGCGCCGGGGCCCCCCGCGGCCCGCCATGGGCCCGCGCCGCGGGAGACGCAAGCCTGAGACCCCGCGAGAGAGGCGCAGCGCGAGCCCGACCCCCGGCACCTCCCGGCGGCGCCCCTCCTTAGGTAACCGGCTGCGGCTCTCCCGCTCCGTGCTGGCCTCCGGCTGCTGGCCTGGGAAGTGGGCGCGGCCCCATTTCACAGACACGAAAATCCAGGCTCGTTTGCAGAACCCGAATCTCCGGACTCCTGGCCCGGTGGCCTTCCTCTGCCCGGCAATCAAGTGGTTCTGACGTCCAGCATCTGCTCAGGGCAAGGGCTGGAGGAGACCGTTCCGACCGGGGAGAGGGCTGGCCCGGACAGCCTGGCTCCCAGTACCAACTCCCCTGGGTATTACTAGCAGCATTAGCAAGCGAGTGCAGCTGCTCGGTCATTGTGGACCATCGCAACTTGATATCGTACCCATTTCACAGCTAATGAGAAAACAGGCACAGGCAGGCCAGGTAACTTCAGCAAAGTTACATAACGTCTTCTGGCAGACAGACACAGTAGTTGTAAACATCTGTTTGTGTTTTGTTTTGTTTTGTTTTAGAGAGAGGTTTTTGATGTAGGGCGCATGCACTCGCCAGAAAGACAGAGACAGACAGAAAGCGAGAAATCACCCCCCAAGGGGATGGCCACTCCATAGTCCCTTCTCCATGCAATTCTCTTCTCCATTCTCCTCTCCGGATCTTGGTCACACTCGCACACATGCCCAGCGTGAGTTAAGCCACCTGGTCTGGGACTTGAACCCGGGTCAACTACATGGGAGTCCAGCGACATAGCCATTATGCCAACTGCTGGTCCCTGTTTGTGATTTTTTAAATTGCAAAAGTATTGGCCACTTTTTCAAACAATTCTCTTTCCAGAGGTGCCTTTCCAGTTTTCCTTCTGTGAATGACCGCCTTGGACCTTGAACCAAGGCCCTCTTGCCCTGGCTCTGCTGCCTTCTGGCATCTGGGGTCTTCAGTCTCTATTGTGGACTAGTGGACCAGGAACCAGGGGCCGGAGGTGACAGATGCCTAGACTTTTCGTGGTGGCAATAACAGCTTTACTTACCTTCCAACTCTTGGCTACATATCTAAGAACATGGTGGGGAGAATGTATTATAGGTTATTTTCAGATGTTGTTGTGAATGGAGTTTTTTTTTCTTTGCTGAAGCAAGTATGTAACCTTTGCATCCAGCTAACTTGCTGAATTCTTTTTAATCTTAATAGCTTCTCCATTGCTTCATTTGGAATTTTTTAAATCATTATTTAATTTTTATTAATTCACTTATTTATTTTAATTTACTGTAGGGCACATGCACTCACCAGAGAGAGAGAGAAAGTGAAAAAGCCAGCCACGAGGTCCAGGACTCTGTGGTGGGCGGTGTGGGAGCCCAGCTCCCCAACCACCACACTACCTGGCTAGCCCCATTGGTTTGGAGTTTGTAAATAGACTGTTAAATTGTCTGCAAATAATGCTTTTTGAATCTTCCTTTTCTTTTTTTTTTTTTGGAGAGATTTTCACTGTAGGGCGCGTGCGCTCGCCAGACAGACAGAGAGAGACATAGAGACAGAAAGCGAGAAATCACCCCCCAGGGGGGATGGTCACGCCGCAATCCCTTCTCCTCCATTCTCCTTTCGGGATCTTGGGCACGCACGCACACGCGCCCGGCGTGAGTTTTAAGCCACCGGGTCCGGGACACGAACCGCAGTCGACTACGTGGGAGTCCAGCGACATAGCCATTACGCTAACTGCTGGTTCCCTTCCTTTTCATTTTTATACATTTTATTTCTTCTCGTATTCATGAAGCCCTGAGACTGGTGTGATAAGAGCAGTGTTTTGACCATCTTTGGTTCATAATTTGAACAGGAATATTAACTAAGGTGTTGCTGTTGCTTTCAGATGTAGAAGCATCCTCCTATTCCTGGTTAAAGGGCAAGTTTTATCTCAAATGGGCCCTTGACATTTCTTGGCAGTCCTCCCTTAAGTCCAGCGGGCTTATCTTCCCCTTGTGGCTATTCTGTACTTTCCTTCCCTCTTCACCTTCCCGCAGTTGCAGTCCCCCCACTCACCCTCAGCTGAGGATGGCCTTGCCAGGTGTCCCCCTTCCTATCAAAGCCAGTCCACTTCTACATGGGCTCTTTCAGCTGCAGAAGGGCTTTCTTCTGTCCTCTCTACCTGCATTTAGAATTCAATCTAAGTTCCTTATGTTAACTTTGCCAATGTGCGGTAGTGTTTAAGATCTTAAGAAAAAGGTCAGGGGTGTTTCTTTGACCCCACATTGCCATTTCCCTATACTATACTGCCGTCCCCCATTTCTCTACTTCCTTTATACCTACTCCCCCCCCCTTTTATTTTTCAATTATCAGAGGGCTTTTACACTCATCACAGAGAGAGAGCGAACACCCTGCGATGGTCGTGGTTGCACCTCAATCCTTTCTTCTCCATCCTGTTGGGATTTGGGGTATGCGTGCACACGTGCCCTGCTTTTCAAGGTGACTGGGCCAAGATTTGAATCGTGGTCTGCCATGTGGTATCAACTCCCTTAACTACTAAGTTAGAGGGCCAGCCCCGTAACTATCCTTTTTTAAATAGCCAGGCTTACTAACTCCACACACCATGTCTGTTCCCTCACTTTCCAGTCGCCCTTTATCTCATTCCAGCCTGGCTCTGCAATCACTACCCCATCTTCTAGTCCACTTGGACTATTCCCGTCGGGGTCAGAAGGAACCTTCATCTCGCCAAATCCGATAGACAGGTCTGTGGTCTTCCTCTCTCTCTCAGAAGCATTTGACACAGCGGGCCACTTTCTCCTTGAAACATTTTCCTCCGTGGCCTTCCATGACACCGCGCACCTTGGCAGTTCTTGCTTGCTGTTTTTTACTGCCCACACCACCACTCTTCAGCTCCTTGGTATCCGGCTTCCTTGGCATCCTCTTCTTTTCCACCCCTCACCAGGTGGTCTTATCCATCCCCGTGGCTCTCAAGACTATCCAGACATTGGCAACACTCAAATGTATATCTCTACCCAGGTCTCCTCTGACCCTCGACACCCAGATTCAGTTGCTTTTCTCCCCAAATGCTCTTGGGTATGTGACACTTCATATACCCAAAGCTGGATTTCTGATTGTTCCCCTTCGACCTCTTGATCCTCAATTTCCCCCCTCACTTCAGGAAATGGCACAGCCACCTACCTAGTTGTTCAATCCGGAAACTTTGAAGACATTCTTTTCTCTCCCTCCCCACCCCCCATATCCAGTCCAAAGGTAAGTTCAAGCAGTTGGGGCTCCAGATCACACCCATCATTCTACTCGTAGCCACATCTGCTCCTCCCAGCCTAGTCTGAGCCACCAGCAACTCTGTAGAGAGACTGTGGAGCCTCCTAACCCACCACTGTTTTACTTCTACTCTTGCCCTTTCTAGTTCTTTCTTTACACTGCAGCTGGAATATCTTTAACATGTAGATAGATCACATTTCTGTGCTGCTTAAAACCCTTCCCTGGTGGAGGATGGAGAAGAAGGGTTTGCGGTGGCATGGCCATCCCTCCCCCTGGAGAGTGATTTCTCACCGTCTTTCTCGTGAGCGCACATGTCCTATTGCATAAATCTTGGGGGAAAAAAAAAAGCTCTTCCCTGGCTTCCCATTACTTCAAGATTAAATCCCAACTATTTGTTGGCAGTTCAAGATATATGACTATTGAATCATTAATCCCCAGTTCTTTAACATGCTCTCTCTAGTTACTTTGGTTTTTGTTTTTTAGTTTTTTCTAGGGGGTGCATGCGGTTACTGGAGAGAGATAGAGACAGAGGAAGGGAAAGCAAGAAATCACCCACCAGGGCAGAGGGACAGGCTCTAATCCCTTCTCCTCTAGGGGTTTTGTTTATGCATGCACATGTGCCTGGCATGATTTCCAAGCTGCCAGGTCCAGGACTTGGACAGTGGAGTCAGCTGTGTGGAATCTAGCTGCCTTAACCTCCACACCTCCTGCTGGTCCTTTGGTTGGTTGCTTTTCATAACTACTTATTCTTGGGTCTTGGATTTCATCTCTCTTATCTTTCTGAGATTATATTTCTCTTAGAGTTCCTTTTTTTTTTTTTTTTTCTTTTTCATTAACTTAAATTCTTCCCTATTGGTTATCTTGAAGTTTTTTCTTAAAGTTACTTATTTCTTCACATGTCAGAGAAACTAAGGTACAGCACCCCAACAGGGTCTTCATGCCATACTCCCAGCCTTAACCAACCCTGGATCATGGGCAGGTGCAGCCTAGCCTGTTCAGGCAAGACTCTGGACACAAACCCAGCACCTTCAAGCCTTCTGGCCAGCCATGTGGGACTTGGTTCCCTTAGCCACCAGGCCAGAGGGCCAGCCCTAATGTTGTTATTTTCTAATAGATACATTTCAGGGCTATGCATTTTCCCCTAGAACTATTTTGGCTACATCTCATAAGTTGTGAGACATAGACTTTTTATTGTTAGGCAAGATTTTCTTTTTCGTTGTTACTAGAACCAAAATTTGAGTCCAAGGCTCTGACACCACAGCCAAGTGCCTGAAGCACTGAATTATGCCATTCTGAGGTCCCCATTGACCCCTAATGAGCTCTGGACCACTGTCTTCACCTCTCAGACCTCAAAATAATCAAGATATGGGACTATATATTAGGTAATTGTGCAGATTCTTTCCAACTGTTTGGGGGAAAAAATCTAAAAACAAAATAACTGAATTTCCCACCTAGGTGAGAAAGATAAGGAGGCACAAAGTTCTTTGGGATCTGGAGAGCAGAGGCAACCCATCTGTTGGAAGGGACCAGGATTTGGATAAGGCTTCATTGAAGAGTTAGCATCTCCATTACATCTCAGGATCGATCCTTCACTCATTCACTTCTTCCCCGCAGTTTGGTAGTGGCTGTAGATCCCAGCAGTGAGTAAAATACCAATCCCTGCTCTCATGGAGTGCAGCCACAGTGCTTAGTCTAGAGCTTTGACAGTTGGTCTGTCTCAGCTGAGCTGTGGGCACCTCCTGCTGCCCACTGCACGTTCCCTTTATGACCCAACTCTCTTGCTCAGGTGCCCCGGCCCGTCTGCGTGCTCGGCGGAGCCAACGGCTTCTGAAGGAGATCCAGAAGCTTCAGAAGAGCACGGGCCTCTTGTTAAGGAAGTTGCCCTTCAGCCGTGTGGTGAGCTCCAGGGAGCTTCCTCCCACCCCTCGTGCCACCCTCCTTTCTTTGAATTTCCCAAGTGTTAGGGACTCTGCTGTCTCTTACCTAAGTGGTTGAGGGACCTCTCTAACCTCTGGAGAACTTTCATGTCCTGGAAACATGAGCCCTCCAAGGGTACCTTGCGATGCTTTATGGAATTAATGGCTAACTCCTTCTACCTTTGAAGCTGTATTCTTTGATTAAGTAAATAGGAACTTTCTCGTCCATGCACCCCAGGACTGGGAGATTGCCTCATCTCCCACCACCAGTAAGAGATATGCCAGTTCCTAAACTCTCAGGAATTGATACCCGCTTCTCGTTAGGTCCTACAGTTAAGGGCCAGGAAGGGATAACGGAAGTGAGGGCTCATGGGAGACTGGAGGGTATCCATCCGCCCTAGAATCTCTCTTCTGTTCTCTGCTCCTCCCACCCCTTCTCCTTCACAGGCAAGAGAAATATGTGTTAAATTCTCTCGTGGTGTGGACTTGAATTGGCAATCCCAGGCCCTGTTGGCCCTACAAGAGGTAAGAAGGGGCCAGGGTTCAGTTGTGGGAAGGCCAAGGATTGGGGAGGAACATTCTAGAATTCTGCACAACTGACTGGGGAGTGTCACCCTCTGAACAGAGCTACCTGGAGACACCGGCTGTTTAGAGGCTGGATTCTGTGTGTGTGGCGGGGGTGCACAATTCAGGCAAAGTTCAGTCTCATTCTGTGGATGATTTTCCTATGGTCTTTTGAGAAATTCCATTTAGCAGGTCTCCAAGGAAAAGCAGTGCACCCCCTTTGCCATGTCAGTCTCTTGTTCCCTCTCCCCCCAGGCAGCAGAAGCATTTCTAGTTCATCTCTTCGAGGACGCCTATCTCCTACACGCCGGCCGAGTCACTCTTTTCCCAAAGGACGTGCAGCTGGCCAGGAGGATCCGCGGCATTCAGGAGGGCCTGGGCTGAGCTCCTGCAGCCCAGGTCCGTGTAAGTTTGCCCTGCTCCGGAGAAGGCACACTTGGGGAGCAAACGCTCAGCTGCCCATCTCGGGCTGACATTTCCCTAGAGAACTTCCCTTCTCCATCCTTAGTCCCTTGCCATCTCGCCTTCTCTTTGTTCTCTAATAAGGGTGTGACTTCATTTTAATTTGACTGCCTGGGACTGAGGGTCAGACCCTCTTACATAATGTTAATATGGCTCCGCAGGAACATGGTGCTCAGCAATGCTGGCCTCACCTGGGAAGGTTCCAGGTTGGCCTCCTGAGGCTTCCCTGTGTGAGTCGTGATCCAACCTAGCTGAGGCAGGGGGGAATTGCCATATGAGAACCCTGTTAGGGGTGTCCCCCACCACCTCTCTTTCTCTCTCTCTCATGAAATGCATACATAAATAAAATTTTTTTAAAGATATTTTTCTATTAAGTAATGAGCAGATCACCCAAGACTCTGACAGAGTTAAGCCTCTCCATTTTACCAAATGACCTCTTTTTTTTTTTTTTTAACTTTTTTTTTTTTTTTTTGGAGAGGTTTTCACTATAGGGCGCATGCGCTCGCCAGACAGAGAGAGACATAGAGACCGAAAGCGAGAAATCACCCCCCAGGGGGGATGGTCACGCCGCAATCCCTTCTCCTCCATTCTCCTCTTGGGATCTTGGGCACGCATGCACATGCGCCCGGCGTGAGTTTTAAGCCACCGGGTCCAGGATGTGAACTGCGGTCGACTACATGGGAGTCCAGCGACATAGCCATTACGCTAACTGCTGGTTCCCATGACCTCATTTTGATTACGAGAAAGGTTTCCTACTGTTTGTTTGTCTTTATATTTTTTTGTAATAGAGTGCATGCACTCACCAAAGAGAGACAGAGAGGGAATGTGAGAAATCACCCCTGGGGGGAGGTTGGCCATGCTGCAATCCCTTCTATATTTTCCTTTCAGGATTTTGGGCACACACAACTGGCATGTTTTCAAGCTGCTTGGTCCAGGACTCAAACTGCCAAGTCTTAACCACCATACCACCTGCTGGCCCAGATTTTCCTACTTTTGAAAATGCCTTGTTAGTATATGTGACTCCTCCGTTTCAGGAATGATAACCAGGGACTCTCCAGAGCTACAGTTCGATCCACTGGAGCCCGAGGTACTGCCTGGACTTTGCACTGTGTGCATGTGGCCTTTTAAATCGTTCTTTAAGAAAGAGACGACTGCATGGCTTCCTTTCCTCTGTAACAGAGGTAGTACACAGGACGATCAACACCGTTCCAAAGGCCTGGAAATTAATTTTCAGATAAAGAGATTCCGTATTGACTTCAGTGTTGAATGAATCACCTGACTGTCCCAGGAGTTTAAAGATCTCAGAGTTGCTGTTATAGAAGAAAAGGTTACTTATCAATTTAGATCTTTCTGTACCATTGACTTTGTTCTTTAAACCACATATATATATTTGTACTTAATTATTTTAAACATAAAGGAACAAATAAGAGAAGGCCACTTTGAGCCATTGCACTGAAGGGCCTGGCATGTGTAGCATACAAATCTTTGCCCTCCCAGTCTCGGCGTTCGTGGCAGCATCAAGTTACTGAGTGGGCTGAGCTGACTGACAAATGCACAGCTTTTCCAAAACTTCATTGGGATTGACATGGAAAATCTCTGACATTTGATATTCTGGTTCCTTCTAGTCAACTCCTATCAAAATTATTCAGAAATTCTAACTCGTAGAATTTAACGTGTTATTCCTAATTATAAATCATAGAAGATGTAGTATAGCAACCCGGGATTTTAAAACGCTTTTTCAGTTTTTGTTCGTTTTTGTTTTCAAGTATTTTTATAGCTTTGTGGAAAGATAATAAAAATAAAACCAATTCTTTAATGAAAATTTTAAAACAAAGTTATTCTTACAGCATATAGAGATTATATTGTTTTTTTTTTTTTGTATGTTAACATTAAATTCTTCATTTACACACTATTTCCAGACAGCCACAGTTTAAACAAGAGGATTGAGGGGTGTGGGTTCGCCTCTAATGGGGTAGGATGTGAGCAGGTGAAAGCCTTTCCCTGCTGTTATACTTGGAAGCAGTTCTAAGAGGTTCCCAGAGAAATGCGAAGTGCTTCCCAGAGACTGGAAAAGCTGTACGTGGCGGACATGCAGCTGAAGTCAGAGACGAGCCGAAGGGAAACACCAGGTTTTATTGTTCCATCTCTTTTCATCCTTTGGAACAAAATCTCACTGTTTGATATTAACTCATGTACGTGCAGACATTTGAGTAAAGCTTTATATATACCTGTGAGTATATGATTTTATTTCATGTTCTTGTCAGTGTCATTAATTAGAAAATTATAGTCTTCCAGTTTTCCCCTTTTTTTAAAGAATTATTTAATTTTATTTATTCATCCATTTATTTGACCAGAGAAAGAGTGGAAAAGTGAGAAAGCAAACCACCAGGTCTAGGACTCGAACCATGGTCAGCCATGTGGGAGTGTCCAGCGCCTTAACCATGCCACCTGCTGGTCCCTAGTTTTCCTTTTTACTTATTTACTTATTTTCTTTTTTTGTCGATTACCAGACAGTGCATGCACTTGCCAAAGAAAGTACTCCCCCAGTGGTGGCCATGCCACACACTCTTTTTTTCCATTGCTGCCTCCCGTAGGGTTTTGGGTATGCACATACACGTACTCAGCATTTGTTTTTAAGGTTCTTTTATTTCAGATTTAGGATTAGGTTGTTTGTTTGTTTGTTTTTGTGCCATAGGGCACATGTGCTCTCTGAAGAGAGACAGAGACTGAGGGAAAATGAGGCATCACTCCCTGGGTATGGCCACTTGGGATTTTGGGCACACATGCACATGTACCCAGCATGCTTTTTATTTCAAGTTGCCAGGTCTGGGATTTGAATCCTGGTCAGCCATGTGGGAGTCCGGTGCCTTAACCACCATGCCACTTGCTGTTCTTGCACCTAACATGTTTTTCAAGCCTCCAGAGCCAGGAGTCACTATACGGTCAGCCCTGTAGGATCCAACCCCCTCAACCACTATGATTCTAGAGTTCTTTAAATTGCTATTTTTCTGTTCTCTTAAAATTGTAGGTCCCAGGGCCAGCAGATGGCATAGTGGTTACACCACTGGATTCCTACATGGCTAACCATGGTCAAGTCCTGGGCCCAGTGGCTTAAAACTCATGCTGGACCCGTGTGCATCCATGCCTAAGATTCCAGGAGAACAGAGGAAAAGGGGCTGTGGCATGGCCATCCACCTTGGGATTTCTCACTTTCTGTCTCTCTGTCTCTCTCTCTCTCCTGTGAGCACATGCACACTATAGCAAAAATCTCTCTAAATAAATAAATAAATTTTTCAGGGACCAGCAAATGACATAATGGTTATGTTGCTGGACTCCCACATAGTCAACCACGGTTCTAGTACCAGATCCAGTGACTTAAAACACACTGGATGCTTATGTGTGCATGCCCAAGACTCTGAGAATGGAAGAGGGGATTGCAGTGTGGCCAACCTCCCTGGGGGATGATTTCTCACTTTCTGTCTTTCTGGCAAGTGTACATTCCCTATAGCAAAATCTCTCCAAAAAAAAAAAAAAATGGTACTAACCAGTACAGTTGTACTAACCAGCATCACTGTAGCACATACACGTCACACGCCAATGCCAGGCAGGATGCGTGCTCTCAGTACCATATAGCATTTACACAAGAATTTGAGAAGGAAGTCATTTATATCATGATAATGTCGCATAATGTTACAATTTACTGTAAATTTTGAACACATGTCATTGAATTTTTGTTTTTCTCTACTTGCTGGGTGATTTCATCAACATTCTCTTTTAACCTTTCCATTGAATTTTTTATTCGTGCTTTCACATTTTTTCAATATATTTCAACACATACACAAATTGGTGATTTTAATTTTATTTATTTTACTATAGAGTGCATATTCTCTGGGGGTTCATTGGGGACCAGCAGTTAGCGTAATGGCTATGTTGCTGGACACCCATGTAGTCGACCAAGGTTCAAATCCTGGACCTGGTGGCTTAAACTCATGCCAGGCACCTGTGTGTATATGCCCAAGATCCCGAGAAGAGAATGGAGGAGAAGGGATTGCAGCATGGCCATCCCCCCCGGGGGGTGGGGGGGTGATTTCTCGCTTTCTGTCTCTCTGTCTCTCTCTGGCTTTCTGGCAAGCGCATGCGCCCTATAGCAAAAACCTCTCCAAAAAAAAAAAGGTTTTGCTGTTGTATTACATGGAATCATAGGGTATAGATTTTTTACGTCTCCTTCGATCTGTGTGTTGTGAAGTTCGTATTGGGTTGCAGAAATCATGGCATATTTTTTGTTTTTCTATGCAAAAATGCATGACTTTTCAGATGACCCAATATTTTTTTACATGGCTAGTGTATTGATTCTCATTGGTTATAGTGTTCCATTGTGTGATTATATAGTAATTTATATGTTGGGGACCAGCAGGTGGCGTGGTGGTTAAGGCGCAGGACAGTCCCACATGGCCCACCATGGTTCAAGCCCTGGACCTGGTGGCTTGCTTTCTCACTTTCTCTTTCTCTCTCTGCTCAAAATAAATGAATAAATAAAATTAAAAAATAATAATTCTTTTAAGATAATTTATATGTTAATTTACATATTTTTATTTTATTGAACATTTAGGTAGTTTCAAGTCTGGGCCTATTATAAATACTGGGCACTTATTTTTGCCTGAAAAAAATATAGGAAACTTAGAAATGCAATTCTTTTTTTTTTTAAGAAGAAGAATTATTTTTTATTATTATTATTTTTCACAGGAATTTTGCCAAAGATAGAGAAAGAGAGGGAGAGTGAGAAAGCAAGCCACCAGGTCCGGGACTCAAACCATGGTCAGCCATGTGGGAATTCCAGCACCTTAACCACCATGCCACCTGCTGGCCCAGAAATGCAATTCTTTATAAAGTTTTTATAAATATTCTGAATATGTGAAAGTAACCAATGCCAATGGGGGAAAAAAATGCTTAAACGCTCTGTGTAGTTCCATGTACATGTATAATATTTTGTGCACTTTTCTGAGAATAGCCATGGCTTTTTTTCTCTTCCTAATTTTGCTAAAGGGTGCATATGGTTGCCAGAGAGAGATAGAAGAAGAGAGAGAATGCAAGAAAGCACCCATAGGAGAGATGGCCACAGTACAGTTCTTTCTCCATCCTCTTCTCGGGATTTTGGGCACACACACACACACACACACACACACACGTAGAGCACGTTTTCAAGCTGGAGATTCCAGGACTCCAATCATGCAGTTGGCCATGTGGGATCAAGCCACCTCAACCACCATGCCACCAACTATCCCAGATCACCCTGGCTTTGATAAGCTCCTCAGGTCCACTATACATAGATAGTTATGAACAATCATTATAGAATCATGTAAGTTTTTAAAAGGTTCACATATTACTGAACCAACCTACCAATGCAGAACTTAGAGACAAAGTGAAGCATCATTTTTTTCCCAATAAACACAAGCGTCCAGTCAGTGGTGACCATTTTCAGTTTGATGTGGTAAGACCATAGTGACCTTGGTACAGCATAAATATGTGGGCCTAGTCTGTCCAGTTCCTCATAGACCCAGCTTGTTTCTCCAGTGTCCCCTCTTGGAGTTGTATCTGATTTTATTACCAGTTTTCATTCTAACCCACTGGGGAATAGGATGATTTTGCTTCTGTTTTTTTGGCCAGAAACCGCTTGATTCTGAAAGTCTTGTGAGAAGACATGGCGAAGAGCCGAGTGGACTGCACGCGCCACGATGGCGGAGAAAGGAAGAGCGAATCATATAAGTTATTTTGGCTCAAATCTCAGATTAGTGTTCTCAGTAATTACAGGTTGTTTGCATAGTTTTTAGATGTTTAACAAAGTCAATTTGGCCCTTATCTGTAGAATATTTGCCTCAGTTGTTTTCATTCTCTAACCCATGGGACATCCCTCCACTGGGTAAAGGATAATACCGAAGGCTCACATTGATGGAGTTTTTCCATTTCTAATGCTCTTGCAGCATCTGATTTTGTGCTTACGAATGCAAACAGTACATCATTTATACATGACAGATTTGGAGCTCAGAAACATTGAGTGGATTGAAAAATCAACTTTATCTTGAAGGAGCAGCCAAAGCATTTTGATAGAAGAGTTCTTCCATCTCCTCCTCCCACTGAGCCAATATTGCTACCCTATAAGACACCCAAAGAGGAAAGTAGATCCCTAATTGTTTCTAGCATCCAAATGTAAGTGACGATGTTAAATGAAGAGAGAAAAGGATTTTTTTAAGAATTATTTTGTTTAATTTTATACATTGTCATTATTTTTATTTTATTTTTGAAGTTGACCAGAGAGAGAGAGACAGAGAGAGAGAGAAGCAAAGTGAGAAAGCAAGCTGCCAGGTCCAGTATTTGAACTATAGTCAGCCATGAGGGAGTCCAGCTGCTTTAACCACCACACCACCTGCTGGCCCCAAGAGAAAAGGTTTTTTGATAAGCATCATAGTAGCATAGCAGACACTGGCCAGGAGATCAGGGAGTGACGAAAGCAGCAGAGGAATTTTCTAAGAGGTTTGAGTTTCTTTCTGTATAAAGTTATATAGGTACATCATACTGATTTGCAGTTGAAAAACAAGGATCTGGTGAATCCTTCTGCAATAACTTTCCCCCTTCACTTTCTTCTCCTCCTCCTCCATGTGTCCAGAAACCACTGAGCCAGAGTCAGAAATGATCCTCATCTTCTGTTTCCATGGCAATGAGGTCAGCCAGGGGAAGCAGCGGAAGATGCCAGGAGAGAACAGGATATTCTGGGTGGACGTCAGTCGAAGCCATGGCGGCACATTCAGAGACCCCACTTTTTCCCCTCCCCCATCCACTCCCCACTTTGGTTAGGAATGCCCCCTGCCCTTCCCACTGCTGTCTGGACAGGACATGTTTAGGGACAGGCTCTTCAATATACCAGGAGATCAGGGAGCTCGGCTGGAACTGCGAAGTCAATATTGTTGCTTAGACCTGGCTGACCCTTTTTATTTCCAGACCCAGCTCAAAGGCAGGCTTTCCTGAGGTGACATTGTTGCTCCAGAGAGGCCTGAGCTCTGTGGTGGACCAGAATCCTCTACAGGAAGGCCACCATGGATTGCGTCTCTGTTACAGATCAGAGAGTGTTTAGTAGATGTTTGTGGGATGAATCGACAGCTTCTGAACACAGTTCGCTGGCTGGGTTCCCGCCTTTGCTTCAGTGCAGTCCCCAAGGG